CTTAGAAATGAGACCTTTAGCTCAGCCTTTTTGATAGGTTATTGTCCAGCCGTGGGACGCATACAGGCGGTAGTAACTTTAACATGCTTTATTGTAAAATACTCGAAGTCTCGGTAGTGCCATTGGCTAGCTTTGTTATTTTTTCTTTTACAAATGTATTTCTTTCAATTCTATTTTATTTTATTCACTTTAAAACCGACCGGTTTCGCCTTACGGTGTCATCGGGGTATATGGTACCTATATAAAATTGGCTGGCTTTTGGTTCCAGCGCTGCGGTGGCCGTAGGTTCGAATCCTGCACGTAACAAATATGTAATAAATATTTTTTCCGTGCGGGATTGTTAAAGTTCTCCACGATACAGGCGAAAATCCTAGTATAGGGGTTATTTTTAATAAGCGAATAAATCAAACTTTTTTTATGAAACTTTACCCCTAGGATTTTCTCCTGAACTGTGGAGGCAGTTTACAAACATAAATGGCACTACGACAAACATACAAACCCGGAACAATTATTTGTAGGCCATACAAATACTTGTTCCGTGCGCGAAACTGTTTCTGTTCAAGTCAAAATAGCTCGCGCTAATTTTCATTTCGTCGTATTAATTTGTCATAAAATGAAATATCAAAGAGAAAAGATTATCGCGTGAATAAGGCAATCGACTATGCTAATGACGAAACTTTTGCAGTCCGATTATTTAAGTTGTCTTCAACGCGTCATCCATAATTAATACGGGATCAGAGACTTAATTATTATGAGGTTTGTGAGAAGTTCGCCTGGCGGATGTCGACGACCTATTCATAAGAATTATATATAAGTTTTTCATTTTACATCTCTGCTTTTGTAGATGTTAAAAATTAATTAGCTAAAATCTGCGTAAAAAAATAAAAAAGATGTGTCTTACCTTATATGAAGAGCACTTGCCGCCCTCCCTCCAATTGCGTGCACTATCACCGTTAATACTAATCCCAACACCACTACACCAGGGAAGACACACCGCTGTCGATAATACGGCACGTGTTTCGTCTCTTAATGAGGCATCGTAGGAGAAATAGACTCTGACTGAATAGAATAGACTATATTTCTTACCTCTAAGCGACCTAAAGGCCAAACGTTTGGTCTGACATTAGGCCTACATGCATACAGGCCGGTATTCTTAATTTAATTTTAAGCGGCTTCATCACCGCTCGCTACCAGGGATCGTAGTCAAGTATTGGCATTTAATATAAAAAAAAAAAATTGATGATCATTTGTATCATCTCACTTGTACTTTTATTGTAACTTTTTAAGTGTGTTTTTCTACGGTACCTATCGACTTTATGAAAGTGTTTGTCGTAGCTTAAAAGCTAAACACTAGTTTAATACTTTAAGGTGATTAAGTTGGAGATGTGGTCTGAATTAGAAACGTGGTTTAACTTACGATGAAGGCTTTATGTGATTTAACTTTAATAGCGTTCACGTAAATAACAGAAGGATTGTGAACCGTAACTTTAAATAAAACTAAAAACTCGGCACTTTAACTAAATGTTTTAAACCTCGCAATGGAAACGAATAGATAAAAATATGGGAAAATTTTATTATGTTATTTTGTTATTATTTCATGTGTGATTTTATGATAGTTTAGAGGCTAAGCTAGGCTAGGTTTTAAACTACAGTAACGATTTTGAATTACATTTGTTAAATAAACTGCCAAGTGTTAAGATATCCATGTATTACACTGGATTGATGATATGATATCTGTCTTCTACATTAACCCTAACTTCTACATTATATACGTGGTAGAGCCATGCTGCAGCTATATTAGTAGTATAGTTGTAGCACGAATGGCTCGGCTCGACCGGGGAAGTACCACGCTCTCACAGCGTAAAATAGCAGCTTAACGCTGCTGTGTTTCGTGTGATGAGTGTAGAGAACTGGAAACCATATTCATTGAAAACGAGGCATTCCATCTTAGTCCTCACGGGTGACAATGCATCTGCATTTTGATTCCTAATTGAGGATAGATGTAGATGTCTATGAGCAACAGCAACCACTTACCATCAGGTGGACTGTGTGCTCGTTTGTCACCCTTATCCTATTAAATAAAACCCGCAATTGTCTATACTCTACTGTATGTATACTCCCTTGGAGTACTTATCCTAATCGTCACGCATAGCAGATAGATTGACGATCGCATTGCCTATATTATATTTCGTTTAGAAAGCAAAGTTCTTAATCTGTTTTCATTCTGTGACATTGAAAAATTATTTTATCGTATTAATATATTATATTCCTCTACCTTTAACCTTTTTTTAATATCTCGTTTATATACTTTCTTTTTAGTGCAGCTAGTATCCAAATATTAAAACTATCGCCATTTACCCTAGAATTTACTTAGTTGTTAATAATACTGTATTTGAATGATTCCAAAGCTTCTAGATATTGCTAAACGAAAGGCTGTTTTGGTCTCCCAATTTTATGAAGTCCATGTGAACTTTCGGCGACACACGGGCACCGTTTCTTATATATAAAAAGCTTAGCTTAGCTCATAAAACCGTTATACAACGCCGTCTTAGCATCGGGTAGTGATGTTTAAACAAAGACCGAAACAAGATCGATACGTACTCGCAGGACGCGCGCCGCTGCCTCGAAATTACATTTTGAGCCAAATCCAGCCGGCACGTGACTCAACTTGTTGCCGCTCAGGAAAGAGATGAAACTACGATACTAGTTGTGTGTTACACTAATGACAGGCGCTATAGCGGTTTAGTATAACACTACAGTCTAAAACAACAATTGCTGTTGTATAGAGCCAGTAAATTATTTTTCGATACTATACTTTACCTTTGACATCTAGCTATACTAAATAATTACCTACTATCAGTCAATACAAAGGTAGACTCTGCCCAATATGTCTGTGGGGTGAAAATGACACGTGGTTTATATTTTTTGTTATCATTTGGATTAAACACATTACATAAATATTATCAGAAGAGAGTAAATATTTTCAATGAGCGTTTTCTGTGACAGACTTCATACCGCCGGTATGATAGCGGCTAAGTAACATTAATCTTAGTGTACCACGTTGGGCGCCACTTTGCCGTCTAAATTAAATTGTTGATTTTATGAAATCCTTAGCATTTAACTTTTATATATTTTATAACGAACACACTTTTATTAGCTTCACCTGTATGTATGTATTAATTAATGTAATGGAATTTTATAATACAGTTTTTACCCACTTCCGGACGTCTGAATAATCTGAAATTTTTGCATACGTATGACCTAGTATTTTCACTAGATATAGTCTAGTATTTTCACTAGATTCTTACAACTCATCAATGCATGTTTTTTTTAAAATAGTAAAAAACGTAAAAAGTAAAAAACTAAAAATATCTAATTTTTTTAAATTTCTTTTGTACTGGGACAAAAGTTCTTTTGTGCTTTGTGGTGCATTCCTTAGGAGAGACTTATGTTCAGCAGTGGACTTGTGATGGGCTGTAATAATGATGATGTATCGGAACCTGGAACCTCTAGCGTAGTTTCATGGAACAAAATAATGTATGATTTGAGTAATGTTTATGAATAATTTGAAGTTTGATCATATCGTAGCCTTACTTTCAACTAAATAGCAAGTTTTTAAAATGGACTGAGTTGTTACCGTATGTAATTTTATATATTTTAACATAATACATAATAAAAAAAAATTGTTTTTAAAATATTGTTTTATAAATTACGTTGCTGAAATAATTTATAGGCAAACTACATGATATATTTGCTTCTCCGGTGGCATATTAATAGTTTTATATTTGCATACAATGCCACATTTTTAATTCCTGGCAATGAGTCATAAAAGCATTAGTCATAGTTTTTGTTTTTAAGGAAACTTTCGCAAATTGCTATTGGTTTCTATGACAGTTTACACCGATTGGCATTATAGGCAGCCAGGCAGTCGCCAAGGACGGTATTTACGTGGCCGTATGTGCGTTTGCATCGGCCGAACGCTCGATCCTGGAATTCCCAGTTATTACCGCAGGGGGAGGCGGTCTCGGGGTTGTTGCCCGGGATCGATCCACCGCACCGCACCGCGGGTATAACCGGTGCACAAGGTTACGACGCCATCACTGCAGTCGCGGTACATCATGTGTCCTGCAACTACATCGTATTCTTACGTTTACGGAAAGCATTTACGTCATCGAGCACAGCCGACGTAAAGGGATCACCGAGTTATTCAGCCGTATATTTCTTGAATCCACAGATTAACACTACATTTCCAAAACAATATAGACGCACAGGTTTCAGGGTTACTTATAAAATATAATTACTGGTTGAAAAATCAATCGGAAGCAATTTGAGCAGCGAAACAAATTCTACGTAGCTTTGCCGGCTGTTAATTGGCTGCGGGTGGCGGCGCCGAGACGGCGGTGGAACCTCCGCAGGGCCCCGCCGCCCTCCGGCCGCCACCCGCCTGAACCTCGCCATTTTTATGAGCGAGAAGTCCGTCGGGACTTGCAAGAGTCTGGCTGGCTCTAAAATTCTTTCCCAACTCTGGACCCTTTAGTTGCTAGGCGCGATCGAATCGGCATACAAACAATATTTTCCACTCATACAACAGAAGCATCAACTTAAAACATTTTCTCTTCAGATGACGTCAACTATTTTTTAAGGTTTTCTTAAGAACTGCTAATAGTCTTTGCTTTACAAAGACTTTTCTAAGAATGACTCAGGTCAGTTGTATGATGAAAACTAGTGAAGCAAGAGATATGTGGTATGGTATGGTGGGGGAGATGTAGACGTCGCAATCGACATTATTTGTCCATTTGCTAGGCTTATTTTCTTGTGCGGGGTTATCAAGTCTGGGATGGTAGCGGGGCGGGGGTGCCGCAGGACGGGGGGTGCGCGGCTATCGACCGGTGCCTCCCCCCAACCCCAACCAGTTCAGTTTCCGGGCGAGAGTCGCGCAATACGCCCGCGCCGCGCCGCGACTCCGTCACTCGTTAGATAGTCCACTTCAAACCTTCACCATGCTGATAGGGCTCGTTCGGGACTCGGTGATGCAGTGCTTCTGCCACTCATGCCGCGCGCCTGTACTGCCGGCAGGTTGGGAACAACGCACCGCTGGAAGCTTAATTCCTTTTGAATACTTTTAAGTCAACCGGCGACGCCACAGCTCTCACTATGGAGACAAACGCCCTCTTGGTTATCTGGCTCATCAACGATAAAACTTGCTGTACCAATTATTTCTGAATTATTGTCACGAAAAGCTTTTTAACCATCTATTGCTTACAGCACCAGCGAGACAAATGAAAAGGTAACCTCGATCTTTTTTCGAAGTTTTAGGCCAATCTGATGTCATTTTTGCCTGTTACCTCAGTTTTTTTGATCTTAATAATACACATTTTCACGGTAAATGTAAGGTTTTGTTATACACATAAAAAGCAATTTAATCCGTGATACAATATTTTGCCTTAAATTATGTAAGAATTTATTTGTTAGAAAGCCGGCCGGCGCGGCGTGGAGAGGGGAGTCTGTGACGGCATTTCGGTCGTACTTATGTACGTGCACGTGTTCTATTGCCGGTGATCTGACATAATTTCTGCCTTTTTTACTTAAACACAAATTATTATTTTCTTATTTAAGTATAGCTCTATCGAAGCCTAATTCATAACATTAGCCTTGAAAAAATTATTGCATCAAATTGTTGTTTCATAATTTTTTCATCGGTCTATTGACTACGGGTTCGGAACATTTGGACGATGTTGTTTTTCGGTTTCTGTGCGTGGCAAACCTAGGATTTGACTGCGCTAGACATATTGATTTAACATTACTGCATAATGTCGACCATTTTGTACTGAATACTCGAACCATACGTGTCCACCATTTTGAACACTCGAAATTTAGTTTCTAATCTAGAGTTATACAAAGGTAATATCTTTAAAGTTCGATATGAGGAAACTTCTGAAATATTATACCATAATGGAATTTTAGGCTTTTGGCCGAAAAAAATTCGCAATTGTTATTTAAATATCAAAAATACTTAAATGGTTTCTTAATTTATCCGTGTATGCTTTCGTCTTAGGGGGAGACATTTCGTCGCTAACGTAATCGTAATCTTATTTGTGGTTTTCCATTACGTCTAATATATATCATTTTCTGATGAAAAAAGCTAATAATCGGGGAATAATAAATGTCTTCTTGCTCTCCTGTAATTTAAAAAAAAATGAGGTTTACCTTTTTGCGGCGTCGACGACTATTTTTTATTCTTTAATTTTATTATAGAGTAAGAGTGACGAACTAGCACACAGTCCACCTCATGGTAAGTGGATGATGTGGCCCATAGACATCTACAACTATCCTCGATTAAGAATCAAAATGTATTTTTTTGTCACCCATAAGGACTTTTTTTATAGGAGAGGGGGCAAACGAGCATGCGGCCCACCTGATGGTAAGTGACTACCGCCGCCCATGAACAACCGGAACACCCGGGGAATTGCAGATGCGTTGCCGGCCTTTTAAAAAGGAGTAGGCTCTTTTCTTGAAGGTCCCTAAGTAGTATCGGTCCGGAAAAATCGCTGATGGTAAACTATTCCACAAGGAAGTTGTGCGAGGAAGAAAACATCTTCTAAATCACACAGTGGTGGACCGCCAATCATCCAGATGGTGTGGATGGTATCGGAAGTTCTGCCGCGATGTGCGTTCGTGAAATTTGGCGGCTGAGATTAATCCGAACAATTCCTCAGAGCACTCCCCATGGTAAATGCGAAAGAAAATGCAAAAGATGCAACATCTCTTCGCAGTGCCAATGAGTCGAGCCGATCGGAAAGGACTCGGTCGTCGACGATTCGAGCCGCTCTGCGCTGGATGCGGTCAAGTGGAAGGAGCTGGCACTGGGGAGCCCCAGTCCAAAGATGGGAACAGTATTCCATGTGAGGTCGAACCTGCGCCTTGTAAAGTTGCAGGCGTTGAGCTGGCATGAAATACTGTCCCGCTCTGCTGAGCACGCCAAGCTTTTTAGAGGCCAATTTGGCCTTCTCTTCCAAGTGACCACGAAACTGCACGTCACTCGATATGTCGACGCCGAGGATTCCGATACTGGCTGAGGCAACAAGGGGAGTACCTTGAAACTGAGGAGATACGACAAAGGGGTTCTTTTTAGCGGTAAACGCGCAAACTTGTGCCTTCTGAGGATTAAACTGGACTAGATTTAGTCGCCCCCAATCCGAGACTTTGTCCAGCAAAGACTCGACTTCAGACATAAGTTTGTTCCGGTTCCGGACTAAGAATGTGTGAATGATATACGAATCACAGTCGAGCTGACCCATACATGCTACAACTATACTATAGCTGCAGCGTGCCTCTACTGAAGCAGGAGTTGCGAATTCGTCAATTTACATTTATAGCTAGCTGTTCAGTCGGCGTGGAATCTATTACGATTGAGTTTCATGGGATTAAATTTTTTGCACGGAACCCTCATTCTTTATATAATAAAAATAGCTTAAGTTACTCTTTATAACATAGTCAAGTCACTTCAAAATTAGTCCAGCCATTTCGGAGATTAGTCGGAACAAATAGACAGACAGATTAAAATTTAATATAATTATAAGTACCGTGTATACTTTCGTAAGCATTTAGTAAATAGCTGTTATTTTTAACATAACCAGACGCTGCAATTTTATTTACACAGATTTGTCCATACATCGTTACCAAAGACATGGGGGAAGTATAGATGACATAATTGCTTAGGGTGGAATTACAACGCACCAATTAAATTGACTCAAGCTCAACAAGTTAAGCACCCCTTTTCAAGAGGGATCACGCGTCACAATTTGATTCACGATTGCTTTTGACACTTGTTATTTCATTAATTTATCTTCACTATCTATATCTATATAAATAAATAATATTGAAGTGTCTGTTTGTAATGTCAAAATAACAGCTTTTTACTAAATGCACTTATAACAAAAAAAAAACATTTTTAAAATTATCGTCTGTCAGTCTGTCTGTCTGTTTGTTTGTCGCTTAATCTCTGAAATGGCTGGACCGATTTTGACGGGAATTTCACTGGCAGATAGCTGATGTTATAAGGAGTAACTTAGGCCCTTTTATTTTACAAAAAATAGGGTTCCGCACAAAAAAACTCCAAAATTACACGCGGGCGAAGTCGCGGGGAACAGCTAGTTTACAAATAACATCAATATTGGGGGCTTTAAATAAATAAATATATGGATTTCAAAATCAATTAGCTTTAAATGATATAAAAAAAACTATATTTGTACAGCCACACTGTGGCAGAATACACGATACCTCCTGTAAATTTTACTAACACCTTAATCACTGTGTTCACAAATAAAATGAATTTGAATTTGAAAACTTTGGTCGGGGGCTAAGAGCTCGCTGTAAATTTCACAGTACGCGAACAATCTGGGATCCTGCCGGCACAAATTAAATTGTTTACTTGTTCATCCATCCATCCACCCATTACAGCCTAAAAAAGTCCGCTGCTGAACATAGGCGTCCCCCATAGATTGCCTCAACATTTTGCCATTTTGCTTGGGAGACGGCTTGAAAACCGCAGTTTTATTGCTTGAAGATGTTGTTGCTGCTCATCTCCTGTGACAGTTTCCCTCTGTCGCCTCTTACGACGCCCACGGATGTTTGTTACTAATGTTCAAAAAATGACATCCAAATTTCTTAAGTGAAGCAGTGGCAATAAAAAAAAAAATAGAAAAAGTTTTATGCCCAGATGTCTCACCACATTTTGTAAAATTTAAATTAATAATCGGCTAAGTGCGAGTCGGATTCGCTTTTTAAGGGTTCCGTACCATCGTATTACACGTTTTTAGATAAGGGAGTCCCTTTTAATGTTTAATTCATTTTAATTTGTATTATTTGTGGGTTATAGCGTCAACAGAAATACACATTCTGTGAAAATGTCAACTGTCTTACTATTACGGTACATGAGATACAGCCAGCTGACAGACGGACGGACGGACAGCGGAGGCTTAGTAATAAGGTTCCGTTGGTTACCCCTTGGGTACGGAACCCTAAAAAGGAACATCAATGATGTTCCTTTTTAGGGTTGTGTGAAATGTTACATCATGTTTATCGGTTGTCCTCACTGAAATTCGTACTTCACGAGTTGTCGCGGTGATGCATTGCGGATAGGTAGCTCGCGTGCTATCATGTACTTTAAAAACGATTTCTGTTATAACTGAACTGTAAATGGCTAATGTTAACTTTGATATACATAAAGACAAGCAGACGGATTTTATTTTGTCAACATGATTTATAATCTGCGTATTTTCTCTATAATCTGTTCGGAATTTCTACCTTATTTCCTGTTGCATAGAGTATTTAACGACAGCGTAGCGATTTTAATCCACTTAAGAGAACAAAGACGTCAGATTTGCAGCCTTTGAATTCCCGTGAAATAATAGCCGGGAAAAAGGACTCGCGAAAGTTACCGTATACATTTTAATTAAACTTTCAAACTAGACTTCCATATCGCTAATGAGGGTACCTCGTGTAATAAACGCCATTCAGGGCTGCTAAAAGCTAAACGTTGGTTAAAGCATCTTATTGAGTTAAATCACACACAATTTCGTACGTTTTGCCTTACCGTTTTCAAAGTGTATTTTGAGAAAAACAACTTCGCCCAATTGTGAAGACTGGAGTTATAGAAGACCTATACCATATATTGATGGAATGTGTTCGATTTGAGTCTATTAGAAGTAATTTCATAAGGGTCTTGAATTTGAACAGAACTGACATAGGCACATTCCATAATATTCTATCCCAAGCAAATGGCGACGATGCGTAAGTTCTGTTCGAATTCATGGCCCATGTAGTATAATAAGTATTAAGTAACGTTATATGAGTAAGTCATGTATATTAGGGTATGATGGGACTGACATACGCTAAGCGGTAAATGTCCCTTAAATTATAATAGAATAAAAAAAAGGTGTATTTTGTTTTTCCTATTATGGATGACAAATTACTAATCACAAATTAAGAATCAAAATGGAGATGCGGTCCCGATCCTGAGGACTAAGATGGAATGCTTCCGTACTAGGAAAATAGTTTATATTATGAACTAGCGATCTTCCCCGGTTTCGCTTGAATAGTATCTGTTCATGTCAATTTTTTCGGATAAAATATAGCTTCGATCCTATATTTTATCTGTTCAGCCTTTCCGAAGATTAGCCCGGACAGAAAGACAGATTAAAAAAAATGTTATTTATGTCTAAATGGCATTCAAATAACCCCCTGAGCAAAAGCCAGTTATTTCAATATTACAGACTGACACTTCAATTTTATATATATTCTTATGGATTTTAAGAACACATAATAATTTTTATAATTTAATACACTTTTTATTAATAAAAGTAACAACCCTACATTAATACCCTGTAGTGTAGTGTTGACTCTAGAACCTTCTGTACATACGTTGCAGTACTCTCCATTATGTTCGACCGCGGCGGCCGCTTATGTGTCGCATTTAAAACTCTTACGCGGCGACACTCATATTCCCAGCGGTAGTAAATTCTCTTTCTAGCTTTTCCCCTCGCACATTTAAAACACAACTTTAAATATGTTATCAGTTTTCATGTCGTGCGGCGCCGTAGGGTCGGCCTCCCCGCCCTTCCATTTTCAACCTTTTTATATATTTACCATCGATTTTTTTCAAGTTTTGTCTCGTAATGAATACGGTTTTTTATGTTGACGATCATCAATCATTGTATTACAAAGAACTAACGACATTCGAGTATAATTGAATATTAATGAACTTTTTCCTTGAATTTTATTGAATTGTAGGCAATGTATTAGAAACATTTTGTTCAAATCGTATTAAGCTGGATCTCTATGTAGAATATCATAATTCTTCTATATATTTTAACGTATCCAGAATTTAACTCTTTCTCTTGTGCAAATTTATTTATTTCTTGTATCTCTTTTTTGGGAATAAAAAGTAAAAATACTTGTTTTACGTATAAGGACACGCTGCAGTAATATTATGGTTGTAGCACAAATGGGTCGGCTCCGACGACCGGGGTATGACCACGCCTTTCACAGAACACCAGCGTAAAATGGCTCCTTAATAATAATAATAAATCATTTTTATTTCCTCTTCACAAAGGTATAAAATTTCACATTATTACTTAGGGAAATAATATGGTTGCAGAAAATGTGTAACCTTTGTGAGAGACTGGTGTCCATACTAGGGTAATCCCTGTGTTATAGATCACCAGGCCCTCACCCTAACGAATTGGACATATTTACATTTTCAATTATACTACAAGGAATGATTCTATATGGTTTTTTAAAGTTATATCTATATAAATAAAAATAGTGCGTGTGTGCGTGTGCGCGCGCGCGCGCGCGCGCGCGTGTGTGTGTGTGTGTGTGTGTGTGTGTGTGTGTTTGTATTAGGTATGTGTTTTTAAGATAATACTGTCAGTAAATTTTCAGCAGCCTTATAATCGATATTTAGCAACCATTTCTGTAACTTTTGTTTACATGCATGTTTTGTTAGAGAGTAAATTAATAAACGTTTATTCAATTTATTATAAAGGTAACCTCCCAGGAAACAGAAAAATCTATGTGAAAATTGGGTCTTTAGACATTTACTGGGACAAACTACATATTTCCTTCTTTTGTCATTATTGGAGGACTCATACTGTAGCATAGAATGTTGTAGTAGCGCAGTGCGTAATATAAACAATTATCCTTATATATTATCTCCTTAATGCTGCTGTATTCTCCTATGGTGAGCTTAGAGAACGAAAAAGTTGCATTTTGATTCATAATTGAGTTAAAAACGTAGATGTCTATTAGCCACAGCATCCACTTACCATCTAACCCTTAACCTCATTAATCTAAACCTTACCTTAATTCAGATGCGTCCCGCAGTAACAAAACGTACACAGTTTTAATTTAAACAGCTATCAAATCAAGGCTCACTTTCCAAATTAACATCGCTCGTGGTCGATCAAGTAAACTAAGTCGGAGCCGTGAGGGATTATCCTCTTCGGAGGGAAAATTCCTCTTCTCGTAGAAATTTCCGTCACGTACGGCCCTCTCGTCTCGAGATGGCGTGCCGTCGCGTTATTACCTCCCAACTTTTGCCTACGACCTACGACGTAGCTAACGTGAGCTGGCTGCTTGCAAATAATTACATGACATTTTCTTTAGACCTTCACATCTCACGACGGATAAAAGTGATAGAAAATTTGTTATAATCTCTCTTGAATAATTCAAGTTGTCTTGAAGGTGTTGTTCTATTCTGAAATAATAATGGTTTTATATATTAAAGCCACATTCATGAGAACAAACTTCAATTATGGTTTTCATCATTCAGTCATAGCAGCCCATCACGAGTTGACGTGACGTGCATGAGTTGGATGGATTGCTTTTTCATTAATGTGAATTTGTTATTGGGGTTACGTGGCGCTAGGTAATGGATGTTCAAATAAAGCCGGGAATAATAAATAAGTTTGCCTTGGGAACTGAACAAAAAGAATACGTCAGTGGCACAGTTTACATACAATGCTAAGATAATTTTTTTTATAGAATAGGGTGACAAACGAGCACACAGTCCACCTGATGGTAAGTGGTTACTGTGACTCATAGACATCGACATCTATCCTCAATAAAGACTCAAAATGCAGATGCGTCGTCACCCGTGAGGACTAAGACGGAATGCCTCGTTTCCAGTAAAAAGGGTCTCCGGTCCTCTACACTCACCATACAAAACAGCAGTGTTAAGCTGCTATTTTACGCTGGTATTCTGTGAGAGCGTGGTCCTTCCCCGGTCGAGCCGATCCATTCGTGCTACAACTATACTTCTAATATAGCTGCAGCATGGCTCTACCACGTATAAAAATTTCTTTCCCATTGATTTCCTCATATAGTTTTTGCCATTGTTTCCACGCTTCGCAATTATTGAGTTTTCTTACGCCGCTACTATACGGCTAATTTGTAGTCATCATCATCATCATCATCGTTGTTACAGCCCGTCATAAGTCCAATGCTGAACATAGGCCTCCCCCAAGGAATTCCACAAAGCACGGTCCTAACCCACCCGCATCCATCGACTTACTGCGTCTCTTACCAGGTCTGCATAGATTGGTGAGCGACCTGAAGCTTCCTTATATGTACGTGCAGATAAAAAGCGTAATTATACTCGAGCACTATTTTGCTATTTTCAAACGACCTAAATCAAATGCATGCACTGCAACAATTTTGATAACCATTGTCCACGAGACAGCAGCGATCCCGATAATCCTGCACTTGACGCATCGACAACACAAAATCGATAGTACTGTCGCGCATGTAACACGCCACCCTTTCATTAACCCGGCCCCGAATGCTCTCGGAATATACAATGGCCGTGTCGATTCGATAATAATCACTTTTCAATATCCGTCACACGTTTCTAATGGACCTTGATGTATTATTATGTTAGGATAATATCCTAATGACGTGATGACCACAAATGTGAGCAGAAGTACGAATTTTCGGAATTTTATAAAACATGGCGTAGACCGTGAATCGTTCGGGATAGAATTTTTTTTAGGGAACCGAGGCCACCTCCCCCCCGCGCGAACACGTACGTACCAGATTATCCACCATTACTGGGACATTCTGTATACGATGGAAAAAACCGCTATCCATCCGCGAGGGCTTCTTTCATCCTTTTAGGTTTCATAATATGATTTTGTCCATGTAATCTTTTTCTGGGTGGGATCTATTAATGTGTCGTTATTTAGATTTACTATAATCATCAAAGACGATTTTTTTTAATCAATTTTGCCTTAATCACTCCCGGCATTGCTCTCTATATGTTTGTGAAGTTTTATTACAAGTGCCTTGGCCTTCGAAGATCAGACAGACAGACACAGATGAAAATTAAAAAATGGCATGCAAGTAACACCTCCAGCTCAATAAAAGGCAGTTATTTTGATACGACAGAAACTTTTTAATTTTATTTACTTGAGGAAAATGTGATGTTTTAATTTTTTAGTAATGCCATTGCGGTACCTATCTGTCCTTTCAGATCGGACAGGACTTTCTTTCGATCTCACTTCCTCGTGACTATGGGTGGTAAAACACCAGAAACTTTGGCAATCCAAAAAATTTAACGCGATAAAATCCGTAAATTGGTTTTGTTCCTTGTCATAATATTTGCGTAAATATAAGATATCATTTATCACGTTAGTGAAATTATTATAGTTATTCTTTGACAAAGAATACAAAACATGTTCCGTGAAAATAATAAAGATCGATTAGTTTACGTTATTCTAACAACTCTCACGACTCATTAATAAAAGGCGTTGGAAGTTTCCAACTTAAATAAATAGTACCAATTACAATATACTCACAATTTTGTACATTTATTAGGTACATGATATTATGTTTACTTTTTACCATATTAAATAATGTTAAAAGTATTTTGTGTTAGCAATTTTCGTTTATAATTTTTAATCACTTTGTAAAGAATTTTATGAATAATTCTTCTAATATTGTATGTGTATGTAGTTAGATGTGAATAACCAGGCAAACATGACACACAGACTTCCGCGTTGTAAGTTGTGACGTAGTGTTTAAAATCAGAATATCAAAGCCAGTGGGTGTGGTAGTCTTCAGGTGAGAGCAAGGCGTCGTCTGAGGCACTCGTTTGACGATGCATTCTGTCCGTAGCCCACCGGCGTTCGGCGCCCGTTAAGAAACCAGTCGGCAAGCCCAGAACTAAGCAGCCCAAGAAAGTCAAATTTATCAGTAAGTGACTGGCATCCTGAAAAAAACTTAAGTTTTTTTTTGTCACAAGGCACTAGGCCTATCTTTGCACTTTTTTTTAAACAGCACCGAGTTTTGTTTTTTATATTGGGCACATCGCTTTTTTTACTGTTTTTAAGTTTTTTTTTAAATGCTTATTCTCTATGACTTTTATTTCAAATCTATGTTGTCTTATCTTTGCGAAAAAAATTCCGTTGTTTCGTTTTCCCTATGTTCATTGTTCAAACAAAAACATAAAACATTCGTCGCATCAAATTTGTCTCAATGTTATTACAGTTGGCATGAGGAAGGGACATCTTTTTGATTAGGAAACTTTCCCCTTTGTTATATTTTTCCTGCTCAATTCGTTTCGCTTTTGTTTTCTCCTTTTTGTGAATTTATGTTTGTTGTATTTTACATTTATGAATATGGCTTTATAACATAATATGATTTCCGTGTTGCGGCGGTGTAAGAATATCCACTACCCCATTTCTTCCCGTGTGTGTCGTAAGAGGCGACATAGGGAAACAAATCAGGAGATGGGCAGCAGCGTCTTGTTAATAAAGGCTAAAAATAAAAAAATAAATCGGTTGCCAACCTGCTTGCCAAGCATGGCATGGCAAATAGCTCCGCTTTAGAAGGAAAATTTATGGCTTGTCGTATTGTTCAGCTAAAAGTCTACTACTTTAATAGGCTGTAACAGTAACGGTAACTAAATAATGTGCTTGATAATTTTATCTTCATCTCTATCTAAGAAGAAGAAAGGTGAGCGAACGAAAATACCAAAGAGAATATAATCACTACGTTTAGAAAATACGAGCAAACCTTTTATTAGGAGAGACGTTTAATATTTACTTACAATGGCTACTTACAAGACTAACTGGGCGGCTAGAAACAAATCTAACCAATTATCGATCAAGTTTTTGGATTAGTAATATGATCCTGCCCCCCATGGTCCATCACCGAGCTACAAAATTTATTTACTTTTTATTTACTATATAAAGATCATAAATATCTTTAAATAACCTATTCGTCCTTTCCTCCAACTAAGCTTACACGTATAAACATTTTAAAACAAAGTAAGGTTCACATGAAAAAAAGCGTTATTATTCCGTTGTACAATGAGGGCGTAGCAATGCTTTTCTCGCAATAACTCTGTGAGTCATACCCTAAGGATCCCCGCCCTTTGCAAACATCCCTCTTAATTCGACGAAAAAGCTACCCTCACCTTCATACACCGGTTCGACCTTGGAGCTACTTTAGCTAGGGTTTTGCCTTTTTAAAATTTAAAGACGTAATAAACCGCGACTTAATTAAATGATCCTTTATTATCCCCACGCTCCAGTGTGTTAATTGCTTTGTCTTTAAATTTAATGGGTGCGACAAGATGTAAAGTGTCTTTTAATTAAAATGTTGTACGATAGCGGTTAGTTAATAAAGCCTTGCGTTGTTATGAACACTTAAAATAATTTTAGGGCTATACTATAGATATTATTTTAACTTGTTTAATGTTATGCACTTCTTACGAATGTTGACTATAAAAATGAGTTCATTGCGTCTCTATTTACCTTTTTACCTAACTGCTCCAGAAGCAGGGTAATGTTTTTCAAGTATATGGTATATATTATGTATATGTATGTATGTATGTAGGGTGTCTATTTTTTGTAACGCTCATTTTACACATTTTAACACATATAGTGTCGTTAGTTTCGTCTTAGTTGTGGAAGTTACATAGGTTATAGTTTTTCTTTTCAGTAAAGTTTTTTACGCAGTCGGGATATTTTAGCCATGGTGCTTGTTAAGTACTTTGTCAGGGTAAAGACTTATTTCACTTGTTTACAATATTAGAATTTATTTTTATTATTTTTTTTAGAAATAGATTTTCATTTAAATTTAAAAATAAAACAGCGGAAGGAGGATACCTGTAGTCAGAAATAAAATAAAAGAGTAGTACCAACCCAGATGAAGTCCTAGGAACCCTATTACTATTACCTAGTTAATTATATGTTAGACTTATTGTAATCGAAAATGAAACTCTTTTTAACACGAAATTGAGGAGCGATGTACCTAAACACAGTTTTCGCGGCCTATTCAAAAATTTGCTGCACCACCTTCAGAAGTCGTTGTTTCCGTGCACAAGTGCCTTTAAATTAAAACCCTTTCCGGCGTCACGTACTCACCCCGCTACTTCTACTATACTATGGGTTTCTCTCTGATTTTTTTACATCATACGAGTATGTAGTATGTACTTGTAAGACCCTCGTTTCCCGTCACGATTATATTTCAAAGTTACCTAAACATCGGTTGTTTTGAAACAATTGTATATAATTGCAAAAGCTGTAATAGAATCAGGCGTTACTTTGCGGAAATCCATTACTTATATTAGAGTTGTAAGAAATTAATTTTCTTAGATCAGCGTAATAAAATAAAATGCCGTGTCTTGCCTAGTTTGAAGAACACCTGCCGCCCTCCCTCAATTAAAATTAAAATTAATTAATGCAAAAGCTTTGTTAATCAATGTAGGCGGTTCGTGAAGGAGTGTGTCGTGTCTAAATAATTGTTTCGGGTCTGGACACTGTCTGTGTGATTTTTGTGCCGAAAAGGCCTCAACGGTACAGAGAAATTATTAACGTTGGGGGGAACAATCTTAAATCTAATCAATTAATCAAAGAACTGTGTCTAAATAAAGTACAAATCCAGTGCCGTCTGATGAAAGACGTTCCAACATTTCACAGCTGGAAATTTTTACATATGTGGCAGCGTTACCAGACTTTCTGCATCTCTGACGCCGTTCCCCCTTTTCTGGTCTGTATTATTTTGACAAAACCTTTTTTTTATTTAAATAAAGACTGTATCACAATAAAATAAATTCGCAAAGCGAAAAATAAATCACAAAAGGTTTCGGTGTACTTCTAAGGTTTTCATGCACCGAGGGGCTTAAAATTAGAGGGGTTCCTCAATCATATTGTATTACATAACGAATGAAAAATATTCCACTATTCGCTGTCTTAAATGTAAAGAAAATAATATGAGAACAGCAGCGTGATAATAGTGATAATATTACGTAAGAAAGCCGTGCTGCAAGTGTAAATATGTAGCTGCACATGCAATACGAATAGATTTCGACCGGGCAAGGAGCACGCTCTCATAGAATATACCAACGTAAAATTGCAGCATAATGCAGCAGCGTTTCGTATGGTGAGTGGACTCACATTGCATCAACCGTGTATTGAAGGTGTAAAAATATCCACTACCCCATATTGCCCCGTGAGTGACAGAGGGATACCAACCAGATCAGTCTGGAGGACACTTTATCGGCGTAATCTATGGGGATGCCTATGGTCAGCAGGTGACTTTGATATGCTGTAACGGTTCCGCAGACAATGCATTGTTGTCATCAGAGGTGACTTCTGCATTTGGATTTATAATCGATGTTAAATGTAGGTGTCTAATAGAGGTCACAGAAGCCACTTACAATCAGGTGAACTGTGTGCTCTAATAAGAAAGTGCTTTTCTATCGAGAAATCTGTCTGAGTCTGAATGAGTCTGTTTAGGTACCACATAACTGTTCCTGACACCCAGCAGGAGTACATTCATTGTTGTGTTTTTTAATTTGTAGTGTGTGTAGAGAACGTAAAGTCAGTCTGTAAGGTATTTCGTTTCAGTCATCGGATGTGACCAATAACCTTCTTTGTTCGTTGCGGTTGTCTATGGACCACAGTAGCCGCATACTGAAAATTAGTTAGCAAAGAGGATATAATCACTTGGCTGTTACTTTAAAATAATAAAAAATCAAAAATATCATAAATATTTTTGTCATGCCTAAAGGACAGTTCCTTCTAAGACAGTCGTTTTACTTAGGTATATAATACTTTTAATTTTCTTGGGTCCTACCGTAATAAGAATAATTTATTGGGTACCTACTAGATTTGAACAATGTCATTTAATATTTAAGTATTTTTATTTGTATAAATTGGATGACTTGAAATTATTCTCAAACGTCCATAAAAAAACTAGTAGGTATACATCGTGATTAATGAAAAAAGAAAATAGAAAAATGCTCAACAAAATAAAAAATTGTTTTCTAATTATAATTATTTGTCCACAGCTACTGAAATTCGCTGCCAGGAGATGTCGAAAGGTGGGCTGGCGTACGAGGTGATCCTCGCGGAACCCGTGGGAGTGCCTGCGCCCCGCCGCGCCGACTCTCCTGAAAAGACTTCCTCGGTAGAGGAGATACAAGAGAAGCTTAAAGCGGCTGAAGAGAGGAGACGTGTAAGTTTTTTTTTAATGTAGAATAAAAGTGATACACACAGCACACAGTCAACCCTAAAGGTAAGTAGATGCTGTGGCCCATAGACATCTACATCTATCCTCGATTAAGAATCAAAATGCGTTGAAAAAAGAGAGTCTCCGGTTCTCTACACTCAGCATACGAAACACGACACCATTAAGCTGCTATTTCACGCTGATATTCTGTGAGAGCGTGGTCCTTCCCCTGCCGAGCCGACCCATTAACAACAAACGAATCAAAAACATTTTTTGTTTTTGTAAATTGTTTCATCAATAAAGTAGTAAGTCTAATAAGCCTCTGCTTCTGGCAAATCAATTAATAATCTATACAAATACATAAAATTGAAGTGTCTGTTTGTAATGTCAAAATAACAGGTTTTTACTAAATGCATATGAAAGTATATACGGTACTTATAACAAAAACACAATTTTTAAAATGTTTGTTTGTCTGTCTGTCTGTTTGTTTGTTCCGGCTAATCTTCGAAATAGCTGGACCGATTTTGATGGGACTTTCAATGGCAGATAGCTGATGTTATATGGCTATGATGTTACTTAGGCTACTTTAAATTATAGAAAAATAATTAGGATTTCGCGCAAAAAATTTAAAACCCTAAATTACACGCGGGCGAAGTCGCAGGGAACATCTATTTCTTTATATTTTTCTTGCACGTTTTAACCAGGATTGTAACTTAAAAGTTATGACATAGCGTTTCCAGTTAAAGAACCTGTTATTTTGAGACAAACCGTAGTAACAACTGATTTCTTGAATTTGGATTTCTAAGTTGAATGCGACGATGTTGAGGACACTAAGTTCACACAAGGGTCATTACAAATGTTTAGTTTTTTTGGGCACAGGTGAAAACAGCCGCCATCTTATTGAGAGCATGCCAGCAAGGCTCCTAGAATGTGTTTTTAAAAGAGAAGGACACTCACGTTATTAGTTACAACAAAAGTCAACAACACAGCTGTGCCTTTAGTCTACAGTGTAATTCTATTGTTAGGTATAAACAGCCTTAAAAAGTGAAAAAAAAAATCAAAAACATCCATAGATTAAGTTTTATTTAATTGCATTAAATTTAACTAAATAAACATTGTTTTACTGAATTTTAAACAACATAAAATAGAAGATAAAAAAAAAATCGGAAAATTTGTGTTGGCCCTTATTTTGTTTTGAGTAGTATAATTGCCATTTTAGAAAAATCACTAGTTGGATGTCCTCTGTAATAAAAGTATTAAGTATATCAAGCTAGAAAGAAGAAAAAAAAGGTTAACTTTTTTTTGTAACTCAAGATTATTTTTACCCAAATATTAATCTAGTCAGTACCTACTTAGCGACGGTGGAATTTAACTCCTCTACCGTCATATTACTAGAAAGCGTAAGCTCTTAGGGACTTATTTTGTGGCTAATAAGTCTCTCTTAACATTACACAAATGTGCGTTGTTTCTTTAATGTTACGGCAGGATTTGCCCGCCTCGTTCTCTTCGCTAGTAGTCCTCTGTTATGGCTTGAAATTAAATGGACTGTAAAACAGTGAAATTTTACGATATTTACCACGGGGAGTATTCTAAAGAATCATCATTATCATCATTACAGCCCTTCACAAGTCCACTGATGAACATGGGCCTCCCCCAAGGAATGCCACAAAGCACGGTCCTGAGCCACCTGCATCCATCGACTTCCTGCGTGCCTTACCTGTTCGTCACTCCATCTAGTGGAGGGACGCCCTCCACTTCATCCGCCGGTACAAAGCTGCCACTCGAGAACCTTTTTTCCCCATCGGTTGTCAGTTCTTTGAGCTATATCGCCGGCCCGTTGCCACTTCAGCTTGCTAATCCGTTGGGTTATGTCTGTCACTCTGGTTTTACTACGGATATCCTCATTTCTAAGTTTATCACGCAGAGAAACTCCGAGGAATAGTTCGGATTAATTCCAGCCGCCAAATTTCACCAACGCACATCGCGACAACACTCACGTTACCATCTACATCATCTGGATACTTAGCGGCCCACTACTGTGCGATTTACTAGGAGTTTTCTTCCTCGTACGACTTCTTTGTGGAATTGTTTACCACCGGCATTTTTTTCCGGACCGATACAAATTAGGGACCTTCGAGAAACGAGCTTACTCCTTTTTAAAAGGTCACCAACGCACCTGCAACATTCATCAGGTGAGTTGCATGCTTGTTAGCCCCTTCTTCTAAAAAAACGTGGTAGAGCCACACTGCAGACATATTATAGCTATATCACGAATTGGTCGGCTCGGCTAGGAGGACCACCAGCTTAATCTAGCTGTGTTTCGTATGGTGAGTGTAAAGAACCGGAGACCCTTCTTACTGGAAACGAGGCATTCCATCTTAGTCCTCAGGGGTGACAACGCATCGGCATTTTGATTCTTAACCTTACGTATTTATTGTCATTTCAGAGTCTCGAAGCGAGCAAGATGGCGGCGATCGCACAGAAAATGGCGAAGATCGAGGAGGCATCGCGCATTCGAAGCGAGCAGACTAACAATTTCATCTCCACCACGAAGGAGGCGTTGGATGCGAAGATGGACTCGCACGAGGAAAAACGTGAGGCTTACATCAACGAGCTGCGTGCGAGGCTGAAGGATCACCTCGAGGGTGTCGAGAAGACCAGGTATGTTTTTACTAATTACATGATCTTAAGATGAAATATTAAAAAACCGTGTAGTGGAGGCGTAAGACAAACCACTAACCCATAACACGGCAACTATGTCAAAATACTGGAAACGTATTATCAGGTAATTTATGTGGGATGCCTATGTCCAGCTGTGGACTTACAGTATGTAAATGTAATAAAAAGCCCATTAACAAGTGTATATAATATATAACATGTGTGCGTTGTATTGGAGTTTACCGAAATACCTACACTGCAACAAAAAACTAAAATATGTGCCATTACGTTAAAATAATTCCTTATACTCCCTAAAAATACGAGTACATTTGATGCCTGAGATAAGCCTATATCCTACATGTGCCTTACTCGTGTTATAAATTTTCTTGTTAATATCACATGCTCCTCAGGTTTCTTGTAAATTGATACGCGTAACGCGTAATATAAAATATGCTCCACACTGCTTTGCTAAAATCTTTATCTTCATAATGTTTTTTTTTACTATAAGAGTATAGGTGACAAAGGACTAAACGGTCTACCTGAATGGTTTGACTTATGGACACGCCCACAAGGCGTTATATTGTGTGATGGCAACCTTCTTTTTATAGAATATGGGTGACAAATGAACACACAATCCACCTGATGGTAAATGGATGCTGTGGCCCACAGACATCTATCATCGCTTAAGAATCAAAATGCAGATGAATTAAAATTTAATGCCTCGTTTCCAGTTAAAAGGATCGAGCATCGAGCACAACATTAAACTGCTATTTCACGCTGGTATTCTGATTGAACGTAGTCCTACTCCGGTCGAGCCGAGCTATTCGTGCTACAACCATAATATAGACATAAATAGACTTAAATATCATTCTTAAATTTTCTATCTGTATGGATAGATGTCTATGGGCCACAGTAACTGTTTACCATCAGGTGCACTGTGTGCTCGTTTGTCACGCTTATCCTATAAATAAATGCAAATAACCACCACCTGAACAATGAATAAGGCAGTTATTCCGCTAATACAGACAGACACATCAATTTTATTTACATGTATGTGTTATGTTTGTGTAAAATTTCAATCCCCCATTAAGCCCAAAAGTCAACTGCTGTAATTTTGTAGTTGTTAGCAGTAAGATGCTGCTGCCCATGTTCTTGTTCATATCATAGACACTCGCAGGATAATATGGGGTAGTAGATATTCTTGCGCTTTACGCTTTGTTCAAACAAATCAATTATATTAACCTGTATAATCTTACATATTATAAATAAAATTTAAACATCTGTGTGTAATATTATAATAACTGGTTTAAGGGTTTATTTGAATCGTATTGGGACATAAATAACATTTTTTTTGTCTGTCTGTCTGTCCGGGCTAATCATCAAAATGGCTGATCTATGCTATATTTTATCCGAAAAACATAAAAAAAATTTAATTGAAATATTCATAAAATAATTGGTCTTTGATTATCTTAAATGTAAATAATTCCACATTAATAGATCTTTTCCAGGTGTTAATTGCTAGTTATTGATATAGGTAGACAATTGAGAAGTAAATACGTTCTTTCTTTCTATGAAAAAAAGTGTGATTTATTTGACCGTGAAACTTTAATTTCATGGTCATTTTGCTGACCACAATAAGTATCGTCATCGAAAACAGTAATTTTATATTAATTGAATCCCGCAAAATTAATGAAACAACTAATTTAAAATTTTTGGTAATAAACTCGTATGTATATGGAATATAATATGTAATAAACTCGTATGTATATGGAATATAATATGTAATAAATTGTATTGATAACTTTTTAAAGAAACTTTCAATAATCCAATATCAGTCATAATTATTTCTAACGGTATTATTCTGATCTTGATTTAAAGAGACAGTAATATTATTTTTGTCGTACTGACAAGTTAATTTTCTCTACATAGTATAAAACAAAGTCGCTTCCCGCAGTCTGCACGCTTAGATCGTTTAAAGTACACAACGGATTTTGATGCGGTTTTCATCAGTAAACAGAATGATTCAAGAGGAAGGTTTATGTGTATAATACATGCATATTATGTATTATATAATTCTTCTGTCCCGTGTGTATGCGACTGAACTCCTTCTAAACGGCTGGACCGATTTTGATAGAATTTTGTTGGGTGATAAAGTTGATTAGAGATCAGTTTAGAATTTAGATTCACAATTAGATGGTTGTTGTCGAGATCTCGAAATCAACCTTGCAAAGCTGGGGCGGATCGCTAATGCTCGTACATGCGAACTATATTATAGGCACATAGGGACATTATTATAGTGCCGTAATTATTATTTTTATTTCTTGTCCTTTATATTTACCACTATAATTGCCCTCTAGACTGAATTTCGGTCACGACGTTCAGCTAGCTGTTTATGCAGTGCCCAAGTAAGTGAGCGCAAGCAATAGAACGGATCCCTGAGAAACTTCGGCATTAGTTGTCGGAAGCTCAGAAGAGCAACTTAGACTCGTTGTCTTGTTGGAGAGACTGTTCACTCAAAAATTATTTTACCCAGCTAATCAGACCAGGGGATGAGCCTTAAACAGAATGATTGCCCAAAAAGCTAACGTGCTAGGTCTTCGAGTCATAGAGTAACGGCAGTTGCTTGCCTATGTTTTTCTAAAGCCTCTCCCCATATACATATTTCTTATTTATGACATCAGAGATAGTGATGCGGTGTATATTATGATGATAATGATGATAATGTTTTCCTAACTAATTATGACTACGGCGATCACTCTGGAACATTTTTAAACTAAATTATCAACTGGATTCTGAACGTATTCAGAGCTACTTTTATTGAACAACGCAGTCTATACATCTGGCCATAGAGGCATTTCTTCTCTTTGTTTAGATAGGTTTATATTTAGACAGACAAAGCGATTCATGTGATGTGTCCCCATTCTTTCTATTATGAAAGCTCTCGTGCTAAACAAGAAACGGGGGTTGGAAATCTGCCGGGACAATGTACGTCCGCGCCCTCTCGCACTTGACCGACTTCCGATAGAGATATAAGCTCACGATACATAAATCTGTTTTCTTGTTTGTTTTATGGTGTCATCAGCAAATTATTTCTTCGGATAATAAAAAAAAAGTGACATTTGACTCTTGAAGTTCTCCACGTCGAACTGTATAAGAAAAAAACAATATTAACACCCGTGCGATCCGCCCCGGCATCACATGGGTGATTTCTGGATCTCGACAACAGCGCCACCTACCGGGTTCAATTGTGAATTTAAACCATCCAGGAGCCCACTTATACACACAAAAAATTCATCAAAATTGGCCCAATTTTGTATACGTGGTAGAGTCTCGAGTCGTCAAAGTATCTAAGACACAGGCAAAGAGTATAGTAATACTATATACAGGACACAGATGCTTTGAATTTTGCTCACGCTTTGACTGCTCTTGTGTCATAATACCACAGACTGCATAGAGACACTCATAATACGTTCCGTTCTAAGTATTAGTGCACTCTATACTTTTACTGTCAACCTATCATTTGCAACTTTTATACGTGGTAGAGCCATGCTGCAGCTATATTATTGGTATAGTTGTAACACAAACGGGTCGGCTCGAACGGGGAAAGACCACGCTCTCACAGAATACCAGCTGAAAATAGCAGTTTAACACTGCTGTGTTTCGTATGGAGAGTGTAGAGAACCGGAGACCCATTTTACTGGAAACGAGGCATTCCATCTTAGTCCTCACGGGTGACAACGCGTCTGCATTTTGATTCGTAATCGAGGATAGATGTAGATGTCTATGGGCCCAGCAACCACTTGCAATCAGGTGGACTTTGTACTCGCTTGGCACCCTTATCCTATAAAAAAGCCGTTTAGGAAGAGTTCATTGATAAACACATGTAGAGAAGAATTATATCTGTAAAAATGTATTGATATAAACCATGTTACGAGGGTGGATTGAAAAGTACTCGGCCTAACCAAGAAAATAAACACATACTAAATCAGTTATATTTTTATTTTTCTACATAATCACCATCAAGTTCAATACACTTTTGCCACCTCCCCTTCCAAGCATTTAGACCGTTGAAAAAAATGATTCTTCCTTAGAGTCAAAATATGCGTCTACAGCTGCTTTGACCTCGTCGTTTGTCGAAAATCTTTGACCTCCCAAGTGCTTTTTTAGGTTAGGGAACAGAAAGAAGTCTGATGGTGCCAGATCAGGTGAATACGGCGGATGCGGTAACAGTTCAAAGCCACAGTTGTGAATTTCAGCCATTGACTGTACTGACGTGTGAACACGGGCGTTATCTTGATGAAACAGGACTTTTCTTCTGAGCATTCCTCGACGTTTTTCTTTTATTTCCTCTCGTAAACGACGTAGTAAGGTGCAGTAGTAATCAGAGTTTATATTCTGACCCCTTTCAAGATAATCAATCATAATCACACCTTTCGAGTCCCAGAATACTGAAGCCATCACCTTATTTGCCGACAAAATCGACTTAGCCTTTTTAGGGGGTGGTGAACCAGGTCTTCTCCACTGTTTTGATTGTTGTTTTGTTTCCGGTGTACAGTAATGAACCCATATTTCGTCCATAGTAACAAAACGATTCAAAAAATCATCTGCATCGGCTTCAAATAACTCCAAACAGTCGCGTGAAATAGTCAATCGCGTCCTTTTTTGTTCAACTGAAAGCAATCGCGGAACCCACCTCGTAGACACCTTGTGGAAACCCAACTCGTTGACAATTATGTTTTGAGTTCGTTCATAAGAGATGCCTATAATCTCGGCTATCTCTCTAATTTTTAATCTGCGGTCTCCCATTATTAAATCAAGTACTTTTTTAATATTTTCGTCAGTAGTTGACGTCGAAGGCCTTCCAGAGCGGGGTTCATCTTTCACACTCTCTCTACCACGCTTAAATTCTGCTATCCATTTTTTGACGGATGAATATGACAGAGCACAATCGCCTAATGTACTGACCATGTCATCATGGATGGCTTTTGATGATAGCCCCTTCTTATGGAGGTACTTAATGACGGCACGCTGCTCGATTTGCTCCATTCGCGGAAATTATGTCCGATTACTTTGTATTTATAAAATCACAACTAATTATCGCACACGTTTCGAACTTCACACAATGAACTAGTCTGAACTGAATTAAATAATGTGGGTAGATTTGATTTTTAGAATTGAATGGATCTGTGTTAGGCCGAGTACTTTTCAATCCACCCTCGTACATGTAATAAACTACACTACTGCTAATCGTAATCTATTAAATTAATTTAACTCCAATTCAACACAGAGCGCTACAAGATTATTTATACTGGAACTTATTTAAATGTTTAACCTTGTGCTAGCTTCTGAGACATTTTGAAATTACTTAATACACAAACTTTAAACTTTAATGATCAATGGTCGAATTTTGACCACTAATTTTTCTTAATGCGCCTCGAAAATTAAATCGAAACCATTTGCAGGTTGTCCCTCGAGCAGCAGACGGCCGAGGTGTACAAGGCGATCGAGGAGAAGATGAACACAGCCGCCGACAAGCGTGACGAAAACATCAAAAAGATGCTTGAGCGCCTGCGAGAACATGTGAGTGAGACTATATAACGACATGGAACTGGAATTTTCAGTTAGCTGTCATAAATGCTAGTTTTATAAGTAGCTATTTTAAATCGAGAATGGGTCCGATGTGTGAGAGCCTTGTTTTACTTAAGTTCTTTGTGTAGTAAATATTGTTGGGTATTAAGTTAATGACCGTGTAGTGGCGGTGTAAGAATATCCACTAGAATAGAATATAATCATTTTTATTCAATATAGAAATGTCATATCCCTCTACAGGTGGTCTCTCTTACATAGGACTAACAAAAATATCTATAAAACTCCGCGTAAAAGGATATATGGCTGACTTGAAGCACCGACGTTCCGGGAAGTCTGCAGTTTGTGAACATATTCAATATCGTCCCCGCTATTACACTAGGTTTGACAGACCACAAATCCTCGCAAAAGAACACAGATTCCTATCAAGGTAATTCGCGAGGCTATTGAAATTAAAAAACATCCTAATTTCGATAGAGAAGATGGATGGGTGCTGCCATCTGCATGAAATCCTATAATTAATGAAATTAAATCCAAACCCAAGTATACCACTGCAAGACCTCAAGATACTGTAAGCTCATTATGCGTAGATCAGATCAAAAATAAATATTCAAAAACTGAAGGTAGCCGGGCTAACTATGACATCGGGATGTCAAACACCTCAGTCTCCCCTGTGACTGTGGGTGTTGCACCCGAAACGTCGGGAATTAAAAAGTTAAATTAAACGCGACAGATGTATTGTGTAGTCTTCGCGTAAATATAATAAATCATTAAATAATACTAAACTGACGTTTGCCAGGCGTAGCAACCATGGAATTTCTCCTCGTGAGGCAATCTATGGGGGACTTTTGATAGACTGTAATGGATGAATGGACTATTATGTCTAAAGCTGGAGCAACATATCAAAAAATAACATAGTTAAATCTCACGATGTCGGGTTGTCTTTGTTGCAAGTATGTACACATGCTCGAGATAGAGAATTAAAAATTACTATCGAGTACCGGCAAAACAGAAAGTAAACTGAGCAAAAATGGTTCGCAGTGCAATAAGAAAATGAATTTGTCCTTTTGTAGAATAATATATAAGATAACAAACAATCACACATTACACCTAATGTTAAATGGATGCTATAGCATGCAGACGATTTGTACCCCTGGGGACTAAGATGGAAAGTCTCGTTTCGAGCGAAAAACGGTCTCCGGTTCTCTAAGTGTAGTCATGCGAAACGTAGCAGCATTAAGCTGCTATTTTATGCTACTGGTACTCAATGAGGGCGTGGTCTTTTCCCGGATGAGCCGAACTGTTCGTGCTACAACTATAATATAGATGCAGCATGGCTCTACCACGTAGTTCTATAACTTTTCCTAAACAGCAGAGTGTTGAAGTTTGATTGCAGCATGTAAATGTAATTATGTTTCTAAGTCGTCTAATGTCGGTAGTGTGTATCACTTTCTCAAGGCAATAAGAATTTATGGAAAGTCATGAAGACAACTGTGATTTAAATATAAAACAGTATCCATTTGTTGTAAATTTGTACGATTTAAATACATGGCTAAATCTATCGATCAGTTACTTCTAACATACTGATACCGGTCGCAACACGGCTCGGTCATAACCGAGCGTCCACCTTTCTAAACATCCGTTGTTCTTTTTTTTTATTTGCAAGATTTCGTTTCAGGAGGAGCAAGTGCGCAAAGTGCGAAACGGAAACCAGGAGCGCTTCCAGCAGCTGGAGAGCGCCATCCAGGACAAGCTGCAGCAGGCCGCCGAGCGACGCCTGCTGCTGGAGGCCGAGCAGAAGGAGAAGCTGCGCAACCACGTGAGTACTCCACACCTGTTGCTCTACACAAAACACCTAGAGATGTAGAGGACTCGGCGGCAACCTTTCTAGAACTATCTCATCGCTATGGTAAAATATCTCAAAAGTATCAAATTAGAACGACCTGTAGTTTTATTATTTTTAATATTCCTACTTAATAGTGTTTTCATCGCATACTTTAGTTCGCCTCCATTATGCATATAATCATACTGTTAGCTTGTATTCATAGTAATTTATAAATGTTTTGTACGTCCCATTTTCTGTACAATTCTAGTTGGTTAAGTGGAGTATCATTCAAAAATAATGTTGATTGATATAAACTAAATAATAATATTAACAATATGCACTATTTATTACAATAAAATGTTTACTTAAAACCCACTTAACTGACTTCGAAATACATCTTCCATCGTTTCAGTATTATGTTATGCCACGCATGAATCATTTTTATTTTGTTTTTATTTATTTTTTTGTCGAATCATCGCAATCACAGAACAATAAGCTAGTGGAAGTGCGGTCGGTGATTACGGCCAAAATGGAGGAGATCACGAAAGACATCGAGACCAAACTGACTGCCGCCGAACAGAACAGGGAAAAGGAGATGCAGAAGAAATTGGACTTTGTTAAAAAGGAGGTTTGTATGAGTGGTGATGAAGAAAATAGAATATATATAATTAACAAACTAGTTAAATAAACGTTGTTCTTATTTTGTTTAAATTTTCAAGATTTTAAGCTTCGTTCAAATAGAGGCGAATTCCGCGCGGCACTCGGGACGCGATTAGCTCGCGCCGATTGTGTCAGCTAACTTGTATAAAGTAATTCACATTGGCGCGATTAGTCACACGTGCTGCAGCGAAATATACGCGTGATAGTGCCTGATTTTTTGAAATGCCGTTGAACTTTGAATTTCGTTATAGCATTCTTCTGGCATACGAAAATATATAAGTTATGTCAAAGTATAGTAAAATATATAATATATGAGTTATGTCCTCACCGGTGATGTTAATATTGTATCCTTTCCAGTCCAGAAGCTTGAAAACGTCTTCCAATACAGCGGTGAAGAGTTTCGGGGATGTAACGTCATACTGTCTTACACATTTCTGTAGTTGGATAGGTTTCGTACTCTGGTTCTGTATTCGGATAGCCATCTTATCATATCATATATATATATATATATATATATATATATATATATATATATATGTGTGTGTGTGTTTTAGTAATGTGGGTATCAAAGTGTGAAACTCTCCAAATTCTATGCGTTAAGATTCTTCTTCAGTTAATGCTAATGACAACAAAGCTCCAGCTTCAACATCAAAATACATACATGTTTTCCTATTGAGTAACCAAAAATCATTATTTATAACGTCATTACGTGCGGGTTTCGTCTCAGTTTGGGAGGCTAAACGAGCGAGCAAATCGCGCAGATTCGTGTTATGCGTCCCGCGCGCGATTCGTCTCTGTTTGATCGAAGCTTTAGTTTAATCTTTCATTATATAAAATCAGTCTTTTTAAATTTACTATTAACAAATACATACGCCCTAAGAAAGCTCAATCTGGTAATAATTCCTTCAAAGTAACCCACTCCCTGATGATACTGCTATGCACTGACTGTCCGGGTAAGAATCAGGTTAGAATCACCCACTACAAAGAATCGACAATGCCATCAATTTTCTAATATTATAAATATTTAAATCATAAATGTTTCCGCTTAACTGGCATGCATTTTTTTAAGATACAGTCCCCAGATCCGTGCCAAAACCTTCACATTGAGTAATTTAGGATCAAAATTTAGACTTTGATCTCCGTTTTAGAGTCTCCGTTCTAAAGATTGATATAGAAAAGCTCGTGTTTATTCTGTCTTCTACTAGTATATAGTAACAAATGAGAAATTCAGTCATTTGGAAGAGAAGGCCAAATTGGCCTCTAAAAAGCTTGGCGTGCTCAGCAGAGCGGGACAGTATTTCATGCCGGCACACCGCCTGCAACTTTACAAGGCGCAGGTTCGGCCTCACATGGAATACTGTTCCCATCTCTGGGCAGGGGCTCCCCAGTTCCAGCTCCTTCCACTTGACCGAGTCCTTTCCGATCGGTTCGTTTCATTGGCACTGCAAAGAGATGTTGCATCCCTTTGCATTTTCTTTCCCATTTACAACGGGGAGTGCTCTGAGGAATTGTTCGGATTAATCCCAGCCGCCAAATTTCATGAACACACATCGCGGCAGAACTCCCGATACCATCCACACCATCTGGATGATTGGCGGTCCACCACTGTGCGATTTAGAAGATGTTTTCTTCCTCGCACGACTTCCTTGTGGAATCGATTACCATCAGCGATTTTTCCGGACCGATACGACTTAGGGACCTTCAAGAAAAGAGCCTACTCCTAAAAGGCCGGCAACGCATCTGCAATTCCCCTGGTTCTCCCGGTGTTGCAGTTGTTCATGGGCGGCGGTAGTCACTTACCATCAGTTGAGCCGCATGCTCGTTTGCCCCCTCCTATAAAAAAAAAATATTTATAATTTTCCGCTGTGTCTTTAGTATACTTTTATCCTTCTTTGATTAACATTTTTGACGTGAATACCTCTTTATATTTGCTTCATGTGTTGCAATAAACGTTATTTGCCTTTTATTGCTTTTAACTTCCCAAGTAAAGTTTAAAGACCCAAGTAACAGAGTGGAATCGTTCTATAAATATACTTTTAGTTTTAGTATTAAATTGTTTTATTTAGTAGTCTGTATCATAACAATTCTTAATTTTTTGCAGATTTATTTACCTCCCACCTCCCTATTTTAATAATTTAATATTATTACAAAATTCAACTGAATCAATATAATAATCAGTCCATTTCCAAAATAAAACCGACGTATGGCCAAATACTCAAACATTACTCAATTTAACACGTCGTTAAGTCTTGTGGTGTCACATTCACTTTGACTTAAAGTGAAAGAGACAGCACGAGACTTAATGGCATCTTAAAATTGAGTAGAGAGAGCAATAGTGTTTTAATTAATATGATATCGTTATTCGTTTTTTTTTTCTACAATCCCACCTGATGGTAAGTGGTGATGTAGCTTTAGATGGTGCGCTTACTTAACAAAAGCCTATAGACTCTTGCCTTGAAGACACGCATATTGTAACCGGATGGAAGCACAGATGCCGCCAACTTATTCCACTCCTTTGCTGTATGCATTAAGAATGATGCAGTTAACTGTTTGGTTCGAATGCGTGGTAATTCAACAACGAAAGGGTGGAGACTGGCCGAACGTCTAGTTGTCCGATGGTGGAATGAAGAGGTAGGAATTAAATTATGCAATTCTTGCGCACACCGAAATGCATCCTGTAGAAAACCGAAAGGTTGGCTACTTTGTGGCTTTGTTCGAGGCTGGTTTTAAACATGTTATTAACGTTGTTTTCGTTTTTTCGTAATGTATATGCTGACGGTACAAGTTCGATGAGTCGCATTTCTAATCCCATTCTTTATCCGCAAGGGTAGTAACATCCAAAATTTAATTACACCACTCAAGAGCTAAAGGATCAAAGAAATCGTTACGTTAACTGACGCATCGCGCGTCACGTAAAGTACACGGCCGTGTCCGTGTCACAGCCACACCCCAATTTTTTAGTGAATACCACTTTTTGTAGAAATGTATAATAATTATACTAGAGTGTTAATTATAATAGAGTTGTGAATTTGTTCAGGAGCGGCGCGCTGAACTGGTCCGGCAGAACAAGAGCGCCCGCGCGGAGTGCGAGCCGGCGCCCACCGCCGAGTAGGCGCCTCGCGACACGCGACTCGCGACGCGTGTCCTGCGGCACGCCACTCGCAGCTCCGGAACGTCGCACACGCCACCTCGCCCGCTGCCGCCACACCCACACCCACACCCACACCCACTCCCACTCCCACTTCCACTCCCACTCCCACACCCAAACCAGCAACAACCATCAACCCACACCCACCAACACTTCTTTATAACTGGCCCTAACGTATACTTCAAGACCACAGACTTGTTGCTTAACTACATGAAAGCTCACACACACACGTAACGCTTCAAGATTTTTAGCTTCCATCTGTGATTTTTGAAGTTTCATATGATTTCCGGTATAAACAATTTGCTTAACTTGTTCTGTGTGTGAGAAGCCTGTGTTCTAGATCAATGAGATAATCATAATTCAATGCTGCTGTAAGGAATGGTGCTGTATATGTCATTTGCTGAGACTGAAATTACTAAAAAAATGTCAATGTTATATTCTTTCTTATTATTTATTGTATAAATCTTAAATCTTTTTTCTATTACTTTTTTTAATATATTATTATGATCCAAAAGTAAAAGAGTACATATTATAGCACTTTTCCATAGCATTACGTTCTGTACTGAGACAACAGTATTATTTCAATAACATGAAAAACATGACAGCTTTTTCCTTTAAAAGTTATGGTAAATAAAAGTAATAAATTAAACAGTTCTCTATAAAATAATTACCATCTATATGTACGGCAAACAAAGGGTTTGTAAGGCACTAGTAAGCATTTACTAATCTGTAGAAGATTAGTGTCTCTTCTAGACATTCTATTTTTAAAATTAATACTTCTATAAATCCCTATTGTTTGTAGTATTAATATAGTGAAAATTACTAGTGTGTTAAAAACCTTAAGTTTAATGGGTTATTTTTTATCTGTACTAGTACAACTGTATGACGCTAAGATAGTGAGGCTTCTGACTGAACCAATGACGAAATTACCCTGTGTGTGATGCGGAGGCGGCAGTGTATATAAAATATTATGTTGCTATATGTTATGTTTATCTTAAATTCATTACTTTCTCGTCAATTTTCGTGAATATCTTACGTGCAGTTCGGGTACTAATATTTTCCTTGTGTTCGTGCTTGCGAGTCTTAAGTATTTTGTTCTTGTATGAATATCATAGCATCATTGTCATAGCTAGTTATCATTGTATGACGTAGTAATTCTTTGTTAAGAGTAGGTGCGACCTCACGTAAGTACCACTTTTAGAATTATATAATTTATAAATAATGTTCGGAATCTCTAGAAGTTGAACAAAAACCGTTTTGATATTCCATTAGGTAAACAACAAGAGAGACGAATTTAGATAAGATAGTGACAGTAGGATATTGTTTGGTGCGGAGGCATGAGGTCGCGATCGGTCGTGGAACCATCAAGAACTGAATCAACAGCTTTATGCCGGACGAGGGGGCATTAAGGGCTAATAGTACTATCTCTAATCGTTATTTATAGTCTTATATCATTATTTTTAATATCTAACATACGCAACAGTATTTTAGGGAAGTATAATCTAAATTTAAGTTTATCTTAAGTTTATATAACATTTACTAATCGCCTTCATGCTAGGCTATTACATATTGCAATGAATACAATCGGTTTTGTCATTTGTTTGGGCGTTCGGTGAGCTGTATTTGTGACTGTATCGGTTTGTACGTGGTTGGCAATGTTATGGTATATTATTCTTTAGTATGTACGAACTGGCAACTACGAATTATTATTTTTATTGACACATCACTAAAAGAATTACACCCAAGGTTGCCAGTTTTTACCACACTACATCATCTAGTCCACTTTTAAATTTTAAGTCATCCGAATCACTTCCTTGTTATGATCTCAAAAGCAAGCACAATAAGTGTTATAGTTGGAAACTTAGTTAACAGCGGAAGTGCCTCAATAATCGGTAACCGGATCTCGGATATATCATTAACATATGACATATGAAACTGCCTTTCATAGCGTTTTATATTTTTTTAACTAACGGTAGTACGAGGCGCTGGGCCGCGGACGTAATTGGTGTGTTGAACACAAATCGCTTCTGTGATGTTTTTGCTCTAGTGATATCATAATGATTATTCGATTAGGCACAAATTAAATCGATACGTAGGTTACAAATTACTCTAGACCCTATTCTGTGCTGTTGTTGATTTAACGGTCAATTTAAAGTTTTGTCAGTAAATGTCGACATTCAAACGCAGATTGGGGTCTAGATGAAGTCGGCTCGAAGATGCGATACACGCGGAGTTTAGAACGCGGTGCAAGTGAGACGGACTTTGTATTTTATAGTATATTTTTGCCATTAATTTAGCGTCGATCCGATTTAACATGAATGATATAGTTAATGTATATAATGTTAAAAGATGATACGTACGCTGCTTGGCACGTGGAGCGCGGCGGGGCGACAGCTTGCCTGCTTACTCTATGTTACTCGTACTAATGCTACTCGAGTAAGGGAACTAGTTGTAAGTTACTAGCTTGTTTCTCGGTGAAGACGTGAAAATGTGACCAATTTGCCTTGGATATTGTGTAGCCTTTTAGATCCACGAGATCGAATCATGAGACAAATCATGTATAGCGATGCGACGTTTAGCTTTGAGATAATTATATTTTGTTCTATTCCTAATAATATTAGACACTAACTCCTACGGTGTTATTATGTACGTTAATTTTATATTTTATGTGATTAATTACTATAATAATGTGCTTAAGTTTGTGAGGTTATAAAAATGCTGTTTGAAGTGCAGGCAATTTTTGTAGTTTCATTGTCGTATTGAATAAAGTCATAAATACTAATAAATGTGGCTGGTTTTATTTTAAATCATTCCTTTAAAATATTCTTACACTCTATAACTAAAATATTTCCACTTACATGTGGATTACATATTTACATACTTATATTGTAAACGTGAAAGTTTGTAAGGATGTATGAATGTTTGTTACGCTTCCACGCAAAAACTACTGAATTTATTTTAATGAAACTACAATAATATGGCTTATACATCAGAACAACACATAGGCTATAATTAATAAAGATATTATCTAAATTGGTCAATATATAACATTAAGTTTTTTTTATAGGATAAGGGCGACAAACGAGCACACAGTCCACCTGATGGTAAGTGGTTGCTGCGGTCCATAGACATCTACATTTATCATCGTTTGCGAATCAAAATGCAGATGCATTGTCACTCGTGAGGACTAAGATGGAATGCCTCATTTCCAGTAAAAAGGGCCTCCGGCCACCTGCACTCACCAAGCGAAACGCAGAGGTAAACCTCTACTTCACGATGATATTCTGTGAGGTCGTAGTACCACCCCGGTTCGAGCCGACCCATCCGTGCGACAGCAAAAGCTGCCGCGTGGCTCTACCACTGTTAAAATAAGTGTTAGGTAAGTCTGAAAAGATCTGTCATCTGCGAGTTATTTTGGCGTGCGATGCAAAACCTGTAAGAGTTGCACATGTATAATGTACTATTGAATTGTTTCTTCTAAATAGAATGTCTGCGACAGTCTTTTACGTGTAAGCCATTATTACCAAAATAGTGAACCATAAATACAATAAAATTTGATACTTTATTTCTAATGCATGTTTTGTAGTTAGCTAATTGATTTTATCAAAATAAATACTTTAATCGCTTAGATAAACTTTGTCTTTAAAACTACGTAATTTGGTCAATCATTTTAGAAGTAACGACGATATAAATTGTGCGGTCCGGCACGCGCAGGGCAGTCGGGTGTGGTGGGGGAAAACATAATGTTTTAAACATCGCTTATCGCCGCGTTAGCAAATGTACCTTTTCACGCTTAAACCGCTGAACGGCTTTAGATGAAATATGGTATCGATATAGTTTAAGACCCGGGGAAGGAAATAGTAGCTATGATCACCGAATTTGCTATGAAAGTGTGATTATTGATGGATCACCTATGGCTTAAAATATAATACTACGCGAACGAAGTCACGGGCAAAAGCTATTGTGGAAATATATTGTTTTGCTATAATTATAAACACATAAGTAACACAAACGAAAGACTGAAATAACTTTTATTTCAAACCTAAACTGCAAAACAAGTATATTTTATTATGTAGCATCAAAATTTCGCAACCGATTTTTAATAATGCATTTTTTTTAACCAAGTGACGATCTTACAATACACCTGTTAGTAAGTGGCTACTGCAGTCCATACACCTGCAGCCAAATTCAAACAAAGAACGCTACAGATTCTTTGTCACATCTGAGAACTAATGGTGGCACTTCACATGGCTATTTGTATTTGCGTATTTGCTGCATTTGACAAATAACTTCCATGTGTGGAGAGTATATTTGCCATACTTATTGCCGTATTTGCCTATTTGGCAAATATAGCCAATAATAAATACGGCTTACCGATCGTCTGTCGATTTTTTAAGTTTCATCAAAGGAAACAAATAGGCAAATACGCAAATATACTGGCCACACATTGTCGGGCTCATAAGCGCGCGAACTGCCAACCAGTACGGACAGACCTGTTTATAACTTCTTAATAAGTGATTAGTTAGGTACCTACGAAAAATGAATTGGGACAAAAAAAGTCAAGTCTCTAAAGATAATTATTTATCAGACAAATTATTGGTTATGGAGATTTTTTTTTTATAGAATAGGGGGCAAACGAGCAGGCGGCTCACCTGATGGTAAGTGACTACCGCCGCCCATGAACAACCGCAACACCAGGGGGGAATGGCAGATGCGTTGCCGGCCTTTTAGAAAGGTGTAAGCTCTTTTCTTGAAGGTCTAAGTTACGACTTATCGGTTCGGAAAATTCGCTGGTGGTAATTGATTCCACAAAGAAGTTGTGCGAGGGAGAAAACTTCTTCTAAATCGCACAGTGGTGGACCGCCAATCATCCAGATGGTATGGATGGTAACGCGAGTTTTGTCGCGACGTGCGATGGTGAAATTGAGCGGCTGGAATTAGTCCGAACAATTCCTCAGAGCACT